GGTTAGCGTTTTCTGCGAGGAAACTCCAGGGCGCTTGGGTAGACTAGAGGGGCGAGACTTCCCCGAAGACTGACCACTTATTTACTGTCGTCAAGAAAAGTTCATGGACCTTAGGAGGTAAACCTGACCGGGGCTGCCAGAGCTAGGCCGCAAAGCTCTGCACGGCCGCTAGATGGGAGCAAAGAGTTGGTTTTTTGCGCTCTCTTTCCTCCCACCTAGCATCATCCGGATTTTTGCAGCCCAAGTCTGGTCGCCCAACGCTTGATTTGAAAGTTTCTGGTTGTTTGTTTGTTTGTTTGTTTATGCTGTGCTAGGCCAAAAAAGAAATGATAAAAAACTTCATGCGTCCAGGAAGACAGCAGGAGTCAAACTCAGTGGAGGCAGTTAGTTGCGTCTGTGTGCCAAATTGCAGTCAAGATTCCTGGTTGAGAGACCTCTTCTCTCTACCGGAGCGAATCAGTTCTTAAGATGAGGAGGACCCAAACTTGAGGGAGCGGATCCAAACAGAGGAACCCTGTTTTCCACACAGGGCTTGTTCTCCACATTTGCTCCCAGACGCATTCCCAAAGAGCTTGACCTTTTCTAGTGTTTTCCAGGTGTTTTGGACCTCAGCTATCATTATCCCCAACCGTCATGCTCAGATGCAGGCTGAGGAAGGGGCCTATCGGAATAGAAATCCAAACGCATCTGGAGACTGCCAGGCTGAAGAAGAGTGCACTGCCATCTGATAGGAACCTAATCAATATAGCATGCTAAGCCATGGTTTGTTCAAGAAGCATAGTGTGCTGATTCACACATAAAGCAATGGCTTAAATCATGGTTTATAAACTACAGTGGCTGGTTTCATGCAACACATAAAGCCAAAAGTAAATAGACCATATAATGGCTTAGCATGTTGTGTGAACAAAACTATTCACACTGGGAGAAACGTACCTTCTTTTGGGAAAATTAATGTGCAAATGGTAAACATTAGCTGTTTAGAGTGTATTTAAGTTGTGTCTCCGCTTACGCTCAGTCTGTGTATGGCTGGTTTTGCACATCAGGCTAAGCCATATGTAATATGGTTTGTTCACAGCTGCCAGATTGTGGCTGCAAAATCAGCATGATCACTAGAGGCACCAAAGAGGTCCACAAACTGGGCTGTTTAGCGGTCACCTCCACTACAGTGGGTTTACTTGGTTTTAGCTTAATAGAGGCAGCCAGTAGGGTATAGAAATGTGAACCCAACCAATTGTGATTTATTTAAGCCAAGAGTGGCTTAGTGTGATGAGTGAATTCAGCCTATTTGTAAATAGATGCAAACACGCAAAATGCCATTAGTCCCTTCTGAACCTTTTCTAATCCAGCACAAACCGAGGCCAATTTTGTGCCCTCAATGTTTTTGTTACTCAGAGAAGTAGGAAGAGAGAATGTTTGTTTCTATTTTGTTCAGAAGCTAGCAGGTGTTGATGTTATTTTCCAAATGTTGGTGTATAGTAAGAAAATGGTATTCTCCAAGGAAAACCCTGAACAATTTTAATGAGGTACTGCAATGGAAAAAAAGAGTTAACTGCTCTTGGTATAGCTGTTTTTCCCTCTGGAATTTTCTTAGTCATACCTTGGGTTGAGTTTTGCCACCTAAGAATGCATGACTTGGTTACTGAAATGTTGCTTCTATGCTTGCTGGGGGAAAAATACATACACTGGCTAATAGTAAAGATAACTAGATCAGTAATTTCTCATATTACCCTGATCTATTTTTTTTTAATGAAACCTGCCCTAATTTCCAGTTTATGATCGACCAAAAATTTTATGCAGTACAAATAGCCCAACCAAGTGAGCTTTTTTTTTCTTCCCCAACAAGAAACTCAACATAGCCTTTTTCTCTTTCACTTAAAAATTCAGTATTTCTCATAGCAAAAAACAGACACTTGGAATTTTATTCAGTCCCTTCCAACTTGTGGTTTGCACTGTGCAAGGAGAGACTGGCAACACAGAATGTTCTTCAAACTTAGATGAAAAAACACAAAGAAGGGAACCAAGTTTGGATATCTGTATGCCTTTATATGTTAAGCTATAAGAAGAAGTGAGTTGGGTCAGATAAATAGATTATCAAGTGTAACATCCCACACTAGCAGTCAGCTAGATGTTTCCAGGAATTGTTTTTATAGGATGTAAAGCTTTCCCCTACCACTGGTTTGCCAGCAAGTGGCCTTTAATGGTAGACTGCAACTGTACATGGAAGTTCCACTTAGCTTTCCTGGTTAATAATCACTGATCTCCATAATGTATTTTATTTCGATTCCTACATTTTTAAAGCTTATAAGCTTGAATACCTTTTGACCTATATGTAAAAAAATAGAAGAAAGAAAAGAGCCAATGTATAATTTCACTCATATGTAAGGATATTAGCAATTAAGTTGCTTAACCCCAAAGGGGTACAACTTAAATACATGCTAAACAGCTAATAGTGTGATAGATATCTGTGTGCCTATGTAACATATATCAGTTCAATTGCAATAATTCTTTTGATGGGAATCATTTCTTCATTACAGCAATATATAAGCATGATGAATAAGTAAATTTAAATATTTCACTATGCACACAGACTTTATGAAGAACAAAACAGACTTAATGCATTATATGTAGACTAGCAGTTGTAACCAACTGATATATATTTTGGAATATGCTTTGGCTAAGATTGACTTTTCCCGCTCGAACAAATTTGAGCTTTTTAAAAATCTATGCAGACTTTATATAGATGCTCACAGTCATAAATAATAGCAATTTGTGTATGCACGAAGGATAAATTCATAAAGTAGGGGGTTAAAATTTCACATTTGGCTTTACAAAACTTTAAGCACTTCTTGACTATATTGGATAGAGTGGTACTCAGTTAGGATAACAGTTCTGAAGATGGCATAAGGGAGCATTAAAGCTGGCAGAGAAGTTTGGGATTTCTTTCCTCCTCTGTGAACTAAGATAGGCCATCTGCTTTGTCAGCTACCCTTCTGAACCCAATGGATAATTTTATTACTGTATTGCTTTTTGTTTCTAACATTAAGCTACAAGTTTTAATGCTTTGGTATTTACAGTAAAGTATTCCTACTTTCTAATGGGCCTCATTCAAAATATGCAAGCATTAGCAACACAGATTCATCCTTGCTGCTTGAATGATCAAAAGATCAGATAAACTCATTTTCCAGTCATTAGCCATAATTGAGTCAAAATCAAGTTGGAGTATTCTTCCAAAATAGTTGGTTTCTGGAGCATCCAAAAATTAACATTTCAAGCTTACTGTCTAGGTTTGGCTTATCTGTCCCATTAAAAGTCTCAGTTTGGATTTCAAATAGCAGCTCACCTGATACATCAAAACTAAATGCTAATCTGCAAATCCGAAGTGATTTGCATCACCCATTGCATTAAGTTTGGTTTGTTTAATTTTGGTTTACTGAACCCACAGCTGGATTCACACAACACACTTAACCAAAACCAAATAAGCCACAACATAAGTTAATCCAGTGTGTGAACCCAGTTTATTTGTCCATCAAGCCCAGAAGTTTATTTTAATGGTTAGTTGTTCTCCAAGATCTCAAGCAAAAAAGGATTTTGCACAAAGTATAAATGATGATTGAACATGGGGGCATCCTGCATGCAAGCATGTTGTCAATTACTGAGCTACGATATCTAAAGGCCAAGATATGATAGTTTAGGCCAGGGTTCCCCAAAGCGGTCAATATCGACCCCTGAGGGTTGATGGGACTATCCAAGAGGTTTGTTGTTGTTGTTCTTACTCATAGTAATATTACTTAAAGTAGTATTTATTAAATTATTTTCATATAATAAATGTGTGGGGGTTGATGAACAATCTGAAACTTCATGAAGGGGCCAATGAGCTGAAGAGTTTGGGGACTCCTGATTAGGCAGTATATTCTAATTTATCCTGAACACACCGTATCCACATATTTATAAATACTATAACACAATTTTTTGTGCTGTAGTTTCCAGGTACGAGATGCATCATGTTAGAAAATCCAGCACTTTTTTCATCTATCCTTCTGCCCCCACCTCCACCTTTCCATCCAGGTTGAGTACTGCAGTACTATTATTTCTGTACTCCATATTAACTGTTCTGATATCTGTTCTGAAACCTGCAGTGCTTTTGGTAAAATCAATTACAAATTACACCTGCATGAACAAAATTAGTGCATTCTCCTTGCATTTCCTATATTGTATTTTCTTAATATTATATTTGCAGTGAATAATCTGCATGGATGTTTATTATTATACTTTAAGAGATGTATATAAAAGCATATACAACCACATTTCTAATGCATATAATTTCAGATAAATGCATATAATTATGCAGATAATGCATATAATTTCAGATAAAATCATGCATAATAACATACATTGGACCTGTTCACTTGCTCCTGGAATAAAACCCACATTCCAGTTTAAAACTGAACATTGCTGCATATTACTTTAAAATTGTTTAAAATTGTAATGTTAATTTGGATTTGAGCTTTTAAAAAAGGCCACAGACTTATCTGCCTTATCAAAACCTAGCATCTTTTTTCAGAATCTTAGACTGTAAGGAGGCACTGAAATCAATTAGACTTCTGAGTAATTAGGGTGGGTGTCACAAAATGTATACTATTTTATTGATATAAAACTTTTGGTGTAGTGGTTAAGGCATCAGGCTAGAACCTGGGAGACCATGAGTCCTAGTCCCACCTTAGGGACGAAGCCAGCTGAGTGACTTTGGGCCAGTCACGCTCTCTCAGGCCTAGGAAGCAGGCAATGGCAAGCCACTTCCAAAAAAAAACTTGCCAAGAAAACTGCAGGGACTTGTCCAGGCAATTGCCAAGAGTAAAAAACTGGCTTAAAGGCACACACACAAAAAAACTTTTCTGTGTTTATCCTTTGTCAAATTCAGAATTCAGGGAAGACTTTGGAAAATAATATAAATATCATATTTACATAGTACTGTAAGTGGCAGTAAATTTTACCAAAGTATTATAGAAAGAAATGGTTCTGTTCGTGACCACTAGGTGTCCCTAGCGTTTGCTTGAACTTTTGCTTAGAAAATGATGCAAGTTTCACAGTATTATCATCCCTTTTCCCTCTTTCGTCAAACTTCCTTTAATACCTTTGGACCCGGAAGCTCCGCGGAGTGATAAATCGTTCCGTGATCGGTTTGTTGCCTCTTGCAATTTGCCTGTTCTTGAAACTTCACCATTTTTCTTAACTAAGGAAATAACTTGGTAAGTTTTACACAGACCTCATTTCTTTTTTTCTCAGCCAGGTCCGAAGCAGCCGGTTCACTCATGAGAGAATTGCGGTAATTGTGAAGCAGGCTGAGTTTAGAGAAATTATGTTCATTTTATTTGTCTAGCTTACTTTACTTTGGACTCCATATTATATTGCAATTTACATAAGAAAACCGCAGGAAAGAACTCACGCAGCTATGGCAAATTTAAAAAGCTGCTGTCTGTTGAAGAGCAATTTGGTTCTTCGTTCTTCCCATGCTACTTTCTTACAAGACATGTCGACTAGAGGCATAAAAAAGATCCTGGCCACTTGCAGTAAGATCCAGAACTTCTGTGGGAATCCTGTTCCACCACTGCACATTTCAGGCAAACATCTTTATTTCCTATTGTTTAATTTATTTAATTAAACTTATTTAATTACTTATTTAATTCAATTTTGAGGCTGCCTGACTCCTCAATAACTCTGGGCAGCTTACAAATAAGAGGAAAAGTAATGCATATAAAAGAGGACATGGATGACCAGAAGAACCAAACGAAGCTAAACAAAAGGGGGCTCTGCAACCCCCGCTCTCCCGAGATCGCTGCTATCTCTGGTGAATGAAGATTCATTTTCCCAGCTGGGAAATGGACATTTCTTGCAGTTCTGTCTTGTTCAGGAGGGTTTCAAAGTGTTTTAAGGGGTTAATAAAAATATACTATTGGAAAGGATACTATTCTTCAATATTGTTATATCTTAATACATCCCATTGTTTATGGCATCAGTGTCCACTCTGACCAGTTCTGGTTCTTACCCCATGACAAGTATCCTGCAGTGGGTCACAGTCCAAATTCAGACAGTGCCCGTAACTCAATCCGCAATCCAGTCATTATCAGTGGATCTAGGAGCCCCCATTCTCTACTTACTTCCTCTGGTCCAGGTTTCTTGTATTCCACAAGGCCTCGTGCCAAAGAAGTATTGACAAAGCTTTGTTATACTACTTGCCTATTTCTTGCTGGCTAGGCAGGCAGAAATGGTGGTGTCTTGGACACTGCAACCAAGGTAAGGGCGTGTTTTATGGTTACTAGTTTGGGGGCATCAGTTTTGTGTCCGAGTGCCTTGTGGGCTGCGCTGGCATCCATCTTGTTTCATTCAAGGACCAAGTGGCTCCAGTGTGAACACTGCTCCACAGTCGACTGGATTTTCAGATTTGCATAACAGCTCAGCAGGTAGGAACATGTGAGTAACAGATTTGAATTAAATCCTGCTCCCGTACTAAGTAGGTCAGTAGTTCACATGACATGCATTGTGTTAATTAAGCATCTAGAGCAGACCCAGCTCTATTTTTATTGCAATTTAAAAAAAAGAATTACAGAGAAAACAATATGCAAAAGTTTTAAAAAACCAGAAATATACATACATCTAACAATTTAGCTATTCAGTTATAATACCAAAACATACAAAAGAAAAATAAACAAAAAATATAAAGAAACAGACAAGCAAAAAAAGGGGGGAACCCTAAGAATGAACATGCCAAATTAATACAAATCATCTAAATATATATACATTTAATAACAAAAATTATCTATTCTTGTAAAATATTATAAAATCAATACCAAAGGGAAACATATTGAGTCTTTTTTAATTAGTAGAAAAATTAGCCTTTTAAGAAATCAGTGTTACACGTTTCCTGAATCCAGTCTTCGATTTGCATAGATTTAAAGAATGCCCAACCCCCAGCAACTCCAATATCCAGAGTAGTAGTACTTTTCTAGTCTTTCAGTTTAATTCTGTTAGTTATTCCCTATGCCCAGTATAACCAGTGTTCCTCAAAAATGGCCAGATACCACAATTTTGGAATATAATTCAAGACCACCTCTAATGTTTCCAGCATAAAATATGGAATTAGTGAGATTCCATGACTCGATCCTTTTGATCCCACAAAGCAGCAAGATGGCCAATTGTACTAACAGCAGCGCCCATCAAGGCATGGGCACAGGGAGGTCAGACCGACCAAAGGAGCATCACAGTGTTGTGATGCAAGTTGTGCCCCTTTTCTACATGCATCACGACAGCCCGTGCACGAGTTTAGGCCACGATGCTGCTTTCCTCAGACAAAAACAATTAGAGCCTGCAGTGCCACTAAGAATTAACATTACAGGATCGGCGTCTTTCTTTATATAATGTTTGTATTTATTAGATTTATACCCTGTCTTTATTTATACAACTCAAAACAGCATACATAATATTCCTCCTATTTTCCTCAGAGCGACAACCACTTGCATAGTGGGTTGGGCTGAAAAAGTGTGAAAGTTACCCAAAGTTACCCAGCCAGCTGTTGTGCTGAGGGGAGGTCTACAACTCATGGTCTCCTGGTATCTAGTCCAGCTCCTTAACCACTGCACCAAACAGGCTCTCAAAAAGTCTCCCATTTTGGTGACGTCCTACACACAGAATTTGCATTCCGGGAATGTCCAGTGTTGGCAGTAAAGGAAACACATGACTGCACGTTGCTTGGTTTCTCTGGATTTGATTGCTGTACCCTTGATTATTATGTCCACCCTGGTCCTCTAGAACAGCATCCCCCCAGAATCTGCAAAGCCCTTTCCTAGGGAAAGCCTTGAAGACCCAGCTCTTTCAGCAAGTCCTGGGGCTGGGGGATGTGTGTCCCCACTTTGGATATGGACTTGTTTGTGATCAACCACTCTGTAGGGGTTGCAATTGTAGAGTTGTTCCCTGATGTGGGTTTTTATTCCTGTATGGTTACTACTCTTCTTTGTTGCTGATTTAAATTGCGTTCATTATATTTTTGTATGCCCCTAGAGTTGCTGCAGCAATTGAGGTGGATTATGGACTAATAAATAAATATACTGGAAACAATGATTTCAGGCAATCTGAGCCCCTTTTTTAGATGACCAGCCTTGCAAATCCTTGCCATTGTCCATGCTGCTGATGCCTTCTAGGACTGAAATCCAAAAATGAAGGCGCTTCAATTAAGTATCTCTGTACTGAATTTAAAGAACTGTAGATAAATAGAGTTACAGAATTTTCATTTCTGCAGATCAGTTTTCTATCCAGAGATACACCAGGTGGGAAGAGGTCTCTATCTGCTCAGGTATCCCCAGCTTCTGCATATACAGTGGGGCAAAAAAGTATTTAGTCAGCCACCAATTCTGCAAGTTCTTCCACTTAAAAAGATGAGAGAGGCCTGTAATTTTCAT